GGTTTTTATCTGACAGATGTGCAGGTGTGGGGAAGTGGCCCTGAAAGCTCACTGTCTGAGTTCAGGGCTGTACACATGCACCCATATGCAGGGACGTATTTACCACAATGCAAGCAAGATAACAGAATAACACCAGCTCTGAGGAAAGGGACTCGTCCCCAAAACAAGTCAACTAGCCGATCACACTGACAGGCGGACACCCCACCACTGCTATCGCCATCTCTACCGTTCTACTAAGCTTTACATTTATGCCATGTTTGTGAGTATGTTTTCATCCCGTTTTTACCTTTAATAAACCTTGGATAATGCACCAGGGGTTTGCGCCTCCTGTTTGCTCTTTTTTACAAAGCAAACTAGGTATTTGCCTAGGGCGGCATTTTTCACGGGGTCAGCACTGCCCCCAGGAAGAAGGGACACATGCAGCATGGGGACAAAGTGGGATCTGAGAGAGGCTTCAGACTGCTTGATACGTATGCACAGCCCACTCTTGTTGCCAGGGATGTCCGGAGCTGTGAAAGTGAGTGTCTTTCTCTCTCCGGGAAGGAAAGGGGGGTTGAATGTTAGTGGAAGGCTCTCTCTGGTTGGTGGGGCAGGGGGTGTTGTTGGTCAATGTCAGGCTCTCTCAACGGGGGAGGGGAGGTAGGTGGTGTTGGTAGGTGTCAGGCTCTCTTCCCTGGGGACCTCCAATTTTTTTTTTGTTGCCTAGGGCAGCACAAAACCAAAATACACCACTGCCCATATGCCTGTCAAATTCGGACCTGCAGTATTTCCATAGTGTAACATAGGTTGCTGCAAACAGCTCCAAGCGGCTCCAGCCACATAAACAAACCACTTATTCACACTCTACAGGCCATAGCACCCATGTGAATGAGCCCCAAGACCTCAATTACACACAGAGCTTTATTTATTAACTCAGTACAGATTTATCATGTAGATTTAACAGGAATTTTGTTGGGATTGTGTACATTAATAAAGTTTTTAGTGTATTTTTTACCATAAATATAATTTTGACATTTTCTCTGGCAGTGGGGGGGGGGGGGGGGGGGGGGGCTATCAGGTAGGCTGTACGGGGCCCCGTTATATCTAATATCGACCCTGTATGTATACAACTTTCTGTATCAGCACTCCTTTATTACACAGATTATTGATAGGTTTGTGCATTTAAGCAAAGGCGTTCTCCCAGCGAGCACTATATACATACTATGAACAGACTCTCTTTTAGCTGAGACCAAAAATTGCTGGAAAAGGCAGAGGAAGTGGTAGAAGTCATGTAGAGTCAGACGCTGGCTAACTGTAATGTAGCATGAAGGCTGGGTTTGGAGGCATTTGCAAAGCATGGACCAAATGTTTTAAGAACAAAATGCCAGCGATGTTCAAGTCTTTTATATAATAAAAGAACACATTTCAAGGAGTGGAAACTGCATTTATTTTTTTTACAGACTCCACTGGTACATATATACACTTACCCTAGTGTTTAACTAATGCCTGGAAAGCTTCGTCATAGAAAGATTTGTCAGTATGCCTGGACCATCCTAGGACTGTTTGCTTTACTTCGTGTTCACCGTTCACACAGAAAGATTAGTCTTTTGTGCAATTTTCATGACAGGTTATGCATCGACTATCCAGGATCAGGCATTGCATGCGCTGAATGTTCACAGGAACGACTGCTGTGGACTGGGAACACCACATCTGGGATCGTCACTGACCTGTAGAATAAAAAAAAAAATATATTTTTTTAGGCCTGGCAGTAGTTGCGCAAATGTTCATCAAACTGCTATTTTCACTTAAAATACACTAAAATCATTATTAGTGGATACAGTACATACATGGAAAAATTTAAACAAAATGGATGCTAAATTCCTACTGAATATAAAAGCTAAAACTGTACTGAGTTAATAAAAACAAATATTTGTAAATTTTAAAATTTTTTGCGCCTTTTTGTGGAATGATGAAAACGAAATATGTGCAAAACTGTAAATAAAAACAATTTAGTCTCAAAATCTGGAGGTTACCATTTTTTACTTCCAGCTTTCAGAATTTGAAAAGACCCCCCAAACAATACATTTGCTGAAAGCACATCACTTATAGAATAAAAAAAAGTAGTTGCGCAAATGTTCATCAAATAGCTTATTCTCTAACAATACACTAAAATAATTTTTAGTGTACATAAACACAACATCTTTTTAAATTCCTGCTATATTGCTACTAAGGCCTTGTTCACATGGGAAGTACTAAAGTATATGGTCGTGGAGGGCCATGTTTACCCGCATGGGGATGCCCAGGTGTTCCATGCATCCCCATGCAGTCCCATTCATGTCAATTGGGATGCATAGCCGCTACTCCCAATCTGACATCTGTGTGGGTTTGACACCGAACACAGACAGCATGAGCTCAGGAACATGCGCCTGGACCTACATGAATGTCAAATTGGGAGCAAAGGCTGTGTTCATGCAGTTGATACATCCCAAATGGCATCAATGGGACTGCCTGCACAAGGATGCACGGAACACCTCTGCATCCCTGTTCAGGTAAACACAGCCTTGCTAAGGAATACACTGTGTATGCCCTGTGTGGAAAAAAACCTTCCTATTAGGGATGCACCAATACCAGTACTAGTAGCGGTACAGATACCGAGAATTTTCATGAGTACTCGAAATCAATACTTTGTGGTGCGATTTGTATCCATACAAAATAACTGGGTGCACATTGCACTGCAACGAATGGCATGTGATTTGAACAGAAACGCGGTGTGATTCCTGTCCGAATCTCATAAGGTTTCCACCATCACTACTATGCAAATACAAGCTGAAACTATCATGACAAGCTTTAGCTCACACAGGAGCAATGGGAAAGCCATGTGCAAATATAGGCAGGAATCGCACTGCATTCCTGTTCAAATCGCATGCCATTCTTTGCAGGTCAAGTTGCACCCATTCGTTTTGTATGGACGTAAATCACGCTGCAGAGCTTCAGTACTCGGTATTGGTGAGTACTTGACCGAAAGTATCAATACTCATACTCCCCGATAAAAAAGGGCATCAGTGCACCCCTACTTGCTATGTTATTTATTTATTTATTTTTACAATTTTATTTTTAAATATATTTTGTACATTTTCTTTGGGTGGGGGGGCTTTGGCAAGATGTTAGGGGTCAAAAAAGACCCCTTATGTCTCTTTTTTGAGACAGAGAAAGGGACTGAAGACAGCCCCTTTTTCTGCAGCCTAAGCTGCACATTACATGAATGAATGAGGAGTCTGTATAGAGACACTCCTTTTCATTCATAAACTGACATAGTAAACCCAGTTTACCTCAGTTTACTATGCTCAGTTATATATCCACTGAAGGAAAGGGAGGGGGCTGGTAAAGACATGTTTAACAAGCCCCCCCCCCCCCCACTTCATCCTGACAGCTTGGAGCCGGGAGCTGGTGCTGGAACAGGAGCAGCAGCTGTAGGTGGCAGGAGGGAGAAGAGGGATTGGTGAGTGGCGGGCCAGCAGAGGGAAGTTCAGAGTGGCAGGGGGAGGTTGGAGTGGTGGGGAAACCTTTTTGCTCCAAAGCCTCTGCAGCAAGCAGGCGAGAGAGGCAGAGGAGGGAGAAGTTGGTGGCTGCAGGGTTTCCCATTGAGGGGGCTGTGGATCATGGAGGGGGGGCAGAGGCCACAGATTTTGAGGGGGGGTCTGTAATGGGGGGTGAGAGTAGAGTGAGGGGGACATTTTCTAAAAAAACAGCAGCGGCAGGAGGTGGAGAGGCTGATGACAAGGAGGTGAAGGAAGTGATGGGTTTAGAGGGGGGAGTTAAATTCAAAGTGAATAGCTCTAATCAGTGGCTTGTTAGCCACTGATGAGAGCTATGTGTATTTTCAGCTGAACAATTATGCTGTAAGTTCACGATTGCTAAACTGACCATGAGCTTATAGCAGAGGAGGAATGCAGGTCCGTATGGCGTATGTACCTGGCCTGTTGGAAGCATGGCTGTAGGTCCATATGGCATACGGGCCTGGCAGTGAAAAGGTTAAAGCAAACGTTTTAGTAATTTAATCCTAATAATAGTTTCCCTGGACAATACAGAGCATTTTTTAGATACTTTAGTGTTCCTCTAGAGCGGGGTCCTCAAACTACGGCCACATGCAGCCCGCCGTGGACATTTATTCGGCCTGCCAGCAGGGGCGTATTTGCCGTGAGGAAGGGACACTAGTACAGGGGTGGGCAGGGGGCTGCTGTATCTTACCTGGCTCCGTGTCCCAGTCCCACAACGATCCAGTCCAGGAAGCGCTGCTCCTTCATTCACTCCAGCCATTCCCTCACTCGATGTTCGCGCTGCCGCTCGGCTCCGCCTCCTCACCGGTGATTGGGTGCCAGAACTGTAGCTCAGGAAAGGCACACAGGCAGCCAATCACCTGCGAGGAGGCGGAGCTGAGCGGCCCTGCAAACATCGAGTGAGGGAGAGGCCGGAGTGAATGAAAGAGGACAGCTGACCGTCCGGTAAGTGTGCCGTGCAGATGGTGCTGCTGCAACCAGGTATGCTGGCTGCAGCAGCACCATGCTGGAACAGGGGTTAGCAAGTTAAGTGTCATTGGTGTCATTGGGAGGAATAATGCCCCATCATTTGTGTCACTGATACTAATGATGGGGCATTATTCCTCCCACTGACACCAATGATGGGGCACTATTCCTCCCCCCACTGACACCAACGATGGGGCACTATTCCTCCCACTGATACTAATGATGGGGCATTATTCCTCCCACTGACACCAATGATGGGGCACTATTCCTCCCCCCACTGACACCAACGATGGGGCACTATTCCTCCCCCACACTGACACCAACAATGGGGCACTATTCCACCCCCTACTGACACCAACGATGGAACATTATTCCTTCCCCCACTGACACCAATGATGGGGTACTATTCCTCCCACTGACACCAATGTTGGGACACTATCCCCCCCACTGACACCAATGACGGGGCACTATTCCCCCCCCACTGACACCAATGACGTACTATTCCTGCCACTGACACCAAAGATGGGGCACTATTACTCCCACTGACACCAATGATGGGACACTATTCCTCCCACTGACACCAATGATGGGACACTATTCCTCCCACTGACACCAATGTTGGGACACTATCCCCATCCCCCACTGACACCAATGATGGGGCACTATTCCTTCCCCCACTGACACCAACAATGGGGCACTATTCCTCCCTCCACTGACACTAATGATGGGGCACTATTCCTCCCAATGGCACCAATGATGGGTCACTATTCCTCCCACTGACACCAATGATGGGGCACGATTCTTCCCACTGACACCAATGATGGGGCACTATTCCTCCCACTGACACCAATGATGGGGCATGTTTCTTCCCACTGACACCAATGATGGGTCACGTTTCTTCCCACTGACACCAATGATGAGGCACTATTCCTCCCACCGACACTAATGATGGGGCACGATTCTTCCCACTGACACCAATGATGGGGCACTATTCCTCCCACTGACACCAATGATGTCGCACTATTTCACTCCATAAGACACACTTGGGGGGAAATGTCTGTGCGTCTCTTGGTCTCTTGGAGCGGCCGGCCCAGTATGCCCGCCGCCGTTGTATGTCCGCAGTCTCTGGTCATCTCCTGTACTGTGTCTGCATTTGTTCATAGTTTTTTTTTTTTTTAAACTATAATCCGGCCCTCCAACTGTCTGAGGGACAGTGAAAACTGGCCCCCTGTTTTTTTAAAGTTTGAGGACCCCTGCTCTAGAGCTTCACAGGAGCTAAAAATATTACTGAACTTAACTACAAAGTTAGGCATTAAATCCAGCTAATCCAGTGTATCCTTTTGGTCATTGAATCTGTACACTACAGTGAAAATAAATAGTAGCTATACATGGAACTGGAAGACAAGAAGGGGCATCAAAAGTGCGGACTGCCAAATAAAATTTAGTACTTGCATAATATAAAAGAATGGGTTTCCTGGAAAAGCTCTAGAACAAAACTAAATTAACTTGCAAACAGATAGAAGTTTCTTCTCTAGAGTCTAAAGAGAGGTGTTTATCAGGAATAAACCTCAATTTAGGTGCACTTTAAAGAAACGGAACATTTTGCCAATAATTAGAGAGTGGCACACATGGTAGATCATGTAGGAACAAAATGTATTATTAATTCTAGCATTTTACTTAATAGATAAGACTGTTAATTACTTAATTAATTTACCTAACAGGTCTAATTTTTGTTGGGTAGATTTTCTTACTTCGTCCACACGTAGGTTTATCTTTTAAAAAGGGAAGCTGCATGCAACAATTGTTTTCCTTTGTGGAAATGAAACCACAGCAGCAAACAAATTAGATTCCTGTTTCTTCACTACACTAATTTTATTGCATTACTTGTAATTAAAGTCAGAAGTTCACCTAATAAATAAACATGAGACATGATGAATTGCCTGACTGCATTGGAGCTTCCATAGGTCTTTGACATGTTAGATACTATATAAAAATGTGTTTGTCTTGGATGTAATTAAATGTTTTTAATTTATTCCATATTAGTAAAAAAAATATTTTCTTAAGGCACATTTCCATTGATTTGCAATGGATGTCCTATTTAGCATGGTGAAGAACAAAACAACTAAAATATCACTTTTCACTGCTGTTATTGTTGTAAACCAAAAAAAGGTGAAATGTGATCTGTTTTAGATTACACATCATTGTAGCTCTTAGCACCACCCTAAAGTCCAATTCTCAGCTCAGGTCCCTCTCCTCATGGATGCACTCCTATATGCATAAAGAAAATCAGTACACTTTCACTCTTATCATTAGTCCTTGGTCTAGCCACATGGTGTCACAGGTCCTCTTCGCCCTTTTATTCCTTTGGTGGTGGGAAGATGCCATTCTCTGCAGCATTCTCTTTTAAGGCCATGGTGGGAAGCAAAGCCTTGACATCCTGGCTTCACTGAAAGTGGGTTAAATGATGCTGGCATCGCTCAACCTGGAAAGAAGTTGCTCCACATTGCTGAATGAGTGAATTTGTGGGGTAAAACCCCACAGTTCTTTTGAACATAGCAGCTAGAGCTGATTTTTATTTTTAAAGGAGGCAGGAAGTTGGATTGGACCTGGGTTTTAACAAATACGCCTGTATATTTGTTGAGTTTTAGCCTATGTTTGCATTTGAAGCTTCTATGTCTTTTGAAAAATGATACAAGCAACCAAATTTTTTGGTTTAAAATAATGAATTTAGCTTTTAGATCCCAACCTTTTTTGGGCTCCCAACGCTATCTTGTATTACCTTCTTCTCTCCCCTGTACCCTAATTCTACAGCCAATCAAGCAGGCTTTAGCCACCATACAATGGCACTGCAGGAGCACAGTGGACACAATATTTAGTTGATTGTGAACACTAGGTGAAACTGAAACACCTCAATGTGTAATACTATATTATATTGCTGCTTGAAGTTTAGGAAGTGATGTAAAGTGCAACCATATTCCAAAATATTTTATTTTTGTTTTGCATGGAGTGGGGAAGCCACTGCCAGATTTTTATTGTTGTCCATGCTCTCTTTGCAGAGATTTCTCCTTTTTTCCTGTCAGGAAAGGAAGTGAAGAGAAATCCACTCAGGGAAAATGGACAGAAAGATTATTTTTGTCCTTGGCTTCATGTCATGACAACAGCCACTTCTAATTATCGTATGGGTGTCACAGAAAATTAGGGAAAACCTCCCCTTAGACGGTAATAAAAAACTTCACTCTCGCCAAAATAAGAAAAAAAAATGTATGGAGTTAGGCTTTATTGAGACTCTTCCACTTGTAAACCTTTGAAATGAGAAATTAACAAACCATATCTTTCTATTGTGTGCATTTGCTTCATTCCAAAGCACAAGGTGTCATTTCTTTCTGTTGTCTCCTTCTGCTATCTTCTAGCTGTCACTTCTAACAGGCTATGTTGACAAGAGACAATCTCTGGAGATGGCCCCGCCCCCAGCACACAACAGGTGATTGACAGCCTCAGCTGTCCATGTTTACCAGAGTGTGTACAGGGGTGTGTCCATTTCCTCCACTTATGTCTCAGATTACACTGAGCTCTCCTCTTAATTCTGTGCAGTGTGTGACATCAGATCCCTACCCCCTGCTTTCTGAAGCTTTGAAAAAGCCTTTTTTCTGTGGAGGCTGTAGAGGACAGAGGGCTGCAGATAAACAAGAACAGCTTATATAGGAAGATTTGTTTAGTCTCTGTGTATCGCCACAGGCTAGCTACTTCAATGGGTAAATGTAGGAGTTATAAACCACTTTAACAGTCATCTAAACCCAAGGCCAAACATTTAATATATTTGCATCTTACCAGTACTCAGATGCAGGGATCGACTGGCTCCTTTGGAGGACCATAGGATCTGCCAGTGGGCCCAGAAAATGTGGCTAAAAAATAAATAATTTACACCTAGTGGGAGAATTTGTCCTTTCTGTCATTTCTGCAGGTCACTTCTGTCAATGTCATGTCTTCCTTTCCTTTCATGTCAATCACCCTGGTTATAACTGAGCATAAAACTGAGCATAAAAACTTTAGCATGTCACTAACTGGACTGACAGCTGCTAACTGGCTGACACCCAGCTTCCAGCTTCTGCTGCAAATGCACCCATGTCCTGTGTTGCTAGGCAAAGATGTACATGAGAAGCAACATTGGTCCACCCAAACCTTTCCTCCCATCAGCAACATCCACAACCCAAATAAAAACTGCAGGAGACTGCGCTGCTGCTTACCTCTTTAGTAAGTGAACTCAAAAAAGCCTAAAATAATATGCATACCTGGCTAACAATTGAAAAAAAAATATATCTTGGGGCATTAAAGGTTGGTATATTTTTTGTGGAGGGGTCCTCACCTCTGGTCTGGACTGTTAATGGTGGGATTTGGGTGGCCATCTAGTTTAGTAAGTTAACTAGAAAATCTTAAAGTCATCTCAATAAATAGCTGGCCATAAACATAAAAAAGAGATATCCTGGGGCACAGTAAGAATAGTATAATTATAATAATTTCCTTGGGGCCCTACAGGTCAACTCAACTTTGTAGTGGCAATGCTGGGATTTGGGTAGACATTTTATTTAGTAAGTCTAAACAATCTCAATAATTTTACTAATAGTTTTACTAAAACCTGAAAATCTATATTGTGGTAGAATGTTAAAATCTATTTTGGGTAACTTATTTGCAGTATATAGCTCTTCCTAAAAAGACGTTTTTACAGCCATGCAGGCTTTACTAAGATATACAGTATGTGAAAATTAACTGAGATACAAGACTCAGGCCACATCCTGATAATGTCTTCTGTTGAGTTTGCTCAAAGACTTCTACACAGTCCCCAACTATTAGCCACACCTCTCATGCATTTCACATTGATTGGGCTTAATAATAGAGGTGGCCAAGAACAGGCAGATTAGAAACAATTAGAAAACCAGACAGATTAAAACCACTTAGAAACAGCTGGACTCCTTAACAGCCTACCTAGTCATATGCATAACAATAAACAACTTTGTCCATCACTCAGAAAATAGTGAGATGAGTTAGCAAAAAGATTAATGCAAAAATCAGTGCTGTGGCATTATCAGTGTGGTCTAAGTCTTGTATTGCAGTGTCTGTGTTGAGCAGAACATGCTGTTTTCAGGATCGGTACTTGACATGGATGTTGAGACAACAGGATACACACAAAAGGCCTGGAGGGGCGCCTTCAGGTTTATCATACAAAATAAGCTGAGAGTTCTATCTGCTGGCAGGCAAAAAAAATTTTATATAATACATAATAAATAATTTACAGAACAAAGGGAAGGTGTACATCATGTGACAAGGAATATGCTATATCCACCTGCTAGCTGCAAAAGAATGCAACTAAATACCATTTGCAAATTTTCAGTCATGTTCACAACTTTATTGCTATTTTTGTAAACATTGCAGCAAGTGTATTATATTAATTATGTAATTTTTTTTTTATGTTATTACAACCTCAAAATTGAAAAGTCAATAACTTAATGAAAATTGGAATATTTGGAAACCTCAGAATTTGATTCCTGAGCCAGCCCGCAGGCAAATGGACACCAATCATTATGTAACAAAGTAATGTCCTCCAGACAGCCTAGCACTGCCTCATTCCTGAAGCAAAATGAATGGTCATCAAGCAGGATGTAGAAGAGTGATGTCCTCCAGCAGCATTGTCCCATTCTTGATGCCATCCCCAAGTCAACGTACATCAAGCAAGATGTAACACAGTACTTTCCTCCAGCAGCAGTTCCTGAAGCCATTTCTAGGTCAACATTCACCAATCAGGAAGTAACACAGAAGCTGACAACATGGAGCCTTGGCTCATTATTCCTAAACTGGGCCTAAAGTTTAGATATATTTTCTTTGTTTCTTAAAAGACTTATTCTTTCATCCAAATGTCATAGAAACATAGATGAGTGACAGCAGAATATTGACCAAATAGTCCAAGTCTGCTTCATTTTTTAATTTTATTAAATGTATACATTTACAGTATATAACTTTTTTGTTG